GAAAGAGTCAAGAGTTTTGGAGCTTAGTTTTTCTGTTTTCTAGTCTAAGAAAAGGCAGTGGAGGTAACAGATGATGTTTAGTAACATCAGATGTCTCTATGAAAAGTGGCAAAATTTTTGGCCAAACGTGCGTATTTCTTGTACTTTACAGTTCTGCTCACTAGGTAAATTAAGAAAAAAATCAGGAATATAAATTAAAACAAAAACTGTGGAAAGAGTATAATGTTAATTGCTCTTGTTGCATAAAAGTTTATAAAATTAAGTTTCTGCAAAATTTTAGACTTTGGAGTTGAGAAGTGTTCCATTAGAAATGTAGTAATTTTAAATGGTTATTAAGATGAACTACAGATATTTCTATGTTAATATTTCAGCTTCAAAGAACTCTCCGAATTGAACAGGACGAAACCTGTTTTCAAAACCAAGTGTTACTTTACTTTTAAATGGATATTAATAAAACAAAACCTTGAATTTTGTAAGACAAATGTAACATTGAACTGTGCTTGGTTTCCAGGGATTGCTTTTGCTCATATTAACTCAGGATACACTTGAATTTTCAGTGGTGGTAATTACTCTTCATGCTTAGTGGTGCCTTTTGTCTGGTGTGATATACAATGTTTAGTTTTCCTGTTTCATGCGTTCTTAGGTACACCTTGTATTATCAGTCATGAAATTTAACCTCTTGAAGTCTTACAGTGATGTTGTTTCCTGTTTTGAGGAAGAAATATTGCTGTTCATGGGGTTTCTTCTAGAATTAGATCTAAGTTTCTTACTCTGCAGTTTATATGGCAAGTGATTTCTCATATTCTGCCATAAGATAATAATAATATAATGGATAATCTATTCATTGCTAAAATTCAGGCTTCCTTCAAATTCACTAGAAACAAAATATCCGGTTTATTTGGTTATACATTACATTGTTCAAAATAAATTCCCTTTTTTTTTTTTATTCTTAGAAATGGATGATGAGGACTGTGAAAGAAGAAGAATGGAGTGTTTAGATGAAATGTCCAATCTTGAAAAGCAATTTACAGACCTTAAAGATCAGTAAGTATTTTAATGTTTTAAGTGCCTCATTTGAGGATCCATTCCATGAGAATATTGTGTGCAGCTGGTGTTTCTCATCTTTCATATATGTGGATGCTACTTTTGGAGAAGAATAAGGATTGGGAGTTCTGAAATTATTTGGAGGCAGTTGCTCCAGAATACTTTTATGTATGTATTTATTTATTTTCTGTTTTGCTGTAAGAATGGTTTTGAAATGTTGTTGCTGTGCAGGGCTGGTGTGGGTCTATTGCATCAAAATCCTTAGTAGAACAAAGGAATTGTGATTTTAGGGAAATTTGTGATTTTATTTATTTATTTATTTACTCAAGATCTTTCTCATCCTTTTCTATATGTGGGACAGACCCAAGCACTGTCTTTGCTAAGTAAGAAAATAGGGTTTTTTTGCAGGGTATCACAGCAGTTTTTGTAGTTGGTACCAATGAAAGTTTCTTGCAGTTACTGCAAAACAGTATATTTAGTATATAATACTAAAAAAAATGAAAATACTGTTGGCCCTCTGTCTGTAGTTTGCCATAACATTTACATCAGTCGTAAAGACGTAAGTGGAAGAGACAAAATTATTCAAAAGTGAATCTCATTTGTATTAGAGCCAGTCTTTTGTATGTATTTTAAGTTGGCTTTTTTTTTTTTTTCCACACATGCCCAGACAAACTAGATGCATCTGTTCCAATTTAAATTGGTGGTAATTTGGCAACTAACTTAATCAGGTACCTGACAAGTGAAACTTTGAGGAGACGTTGTCTATTCTTGGGCATATGTTCTAATTGAAAATCTAGTCAGTTGTCATTACATTTCAGATGCGTGTTTATATTGAGAGATAGTTCTTTCTACTACAGAACCGTGACGTACAACTTGCTTTGCCTAACAGGGCACTGTGAGGCCTATCTAATAGGGTCTGGAAACAATTGCCCAACAAGCAATTTCTTGCTCCAGTTTCTAGAGAAGACTGTTTGTCCTGCTGTTCTTCTTTGGGCTGAGCATGGAGCAACCTGGGAAATGGAGCCAACTGATGAGTATCGGAGCCAGTTGGTACTGACTGGTTTGGTATTTGGAAAACTGCCAGCTTTTGAGTTCAGTCCTACTCTTCCATCTGTTGGACAGCTTGGATGACTGAAAACAATTTGTGTAAACAAACCTTTAAGGAGTGAATATGGAGGAGGGTGGTCTTGGGAGGAAGGAAACAAGTATTTCAGGGGGTTTAGGGATTGTGAATGGTGTTTGGGAGGTGGTAAGGCTGTGGTATATGAGGAGGAAGGCATTGTGTAGTAGACACTGGTTAGCTGAGAGATTGGGGTGTTTGTATGGGCTGGAAGAACTGTGATGGTGGGAATACTGAGAAAGGAGCATTACAATGATAGAAGAAGGATTATAGGGAGGAGCAGCCGTGAGTAGAGAGGTGATAAAGGGAAAGAAGAAAAAGATGCATAAACAATGGGATGTTTAGTCACAACCAATAGCAGAGATGATGAAGTGATTCTGTCTACCTCCTCTTCCTTTTCAGGGAAACTGAATTTGGATACTATGAGATAAGTAAGATTTACAGGTTGATAGCAGTTATCCATTTTAGGCAAATCACTGAAAGTACTGGATAAACAGTTGTAGTCTATCAACGGCTACGTGGTACCAAGTGCTGGCAGCACTTAGTCCATAACCACTTGCTCTGATGTAGCTGGAACTTGGTGCTGTGTAATCAAATGTTAGTGACCCACCCAGTCATGTGCGCTGTGCACCCATGCTTATGTTCTAGCTAAATAATTCTGCTGTAGCTTTATGCTAACTATTGTGTGCATAGCGTGCTCATCAAGGATTGAGCCCAGCAAATTGGGTTTTAATCAGCTGCAGGCTATGTCAGTTGACTGCAGGACAGATTGTGTGCATCATACTCTAGCAGTTTGCAGGTAAGAAGGAGGGGAGTGATCACTGACAATTGCTGGGTTAGGTACACACGCTTGAAGTATGGAGTTGTCATCCAAGTAAAATGATAGCAGGCTGGTGGCAAATGAACAGGAAGTATTTCTCAAGGAGCTCTTGATGTGTCAGTATACATGAACTTTCTCTTGTCTGTTTCATTACTTAACCTAGACACTTTAAACAAGTAAAAAAGCAGCGTCCCTGTCCCAAAGACATCTGTTATATCTGTGTAAACAGATATAACAAAGATGTTTATCTGCGTAAACAGATAACACCTGATGTGTTCTTAACACGTACGACAGAGTTTGTACACATTTGCCTTAATTCTACAGCTTTTGATTGTGGGGCGCGAGGTGAAAAATGAGAACAGGAAAAGCTGGTTATATTGATGATTCTACCACTGAACACTGTATTTAAGTTACCAGTTACAAAGAGTGGAGCTTTATTGTGATTGAAATACTTGTAATTGATATTACATTAAATTTTTCAAAATGCAAGCAGATTTCTTCATTGTCTGTCAGTAAATAGGAGCTTTTATAGAAGGAATGAATTTTAGGTAAAATAAAAGTATTTTAAATACACTTCCTTTTGGCATGAATGGAAAATGTCAGTTACAAATTACCCTGTGATATTTGTGATAGGGCGCAATATGTGGATTTTCATGGGAGATGAAATTAGGGTTGCTTCAATAAGAGCCTGCCTCACTTTTTCCTTGATTTATGGTAGGGTGGGAGCAGATATGTGAACACGACAGTGAATGGGAGTTTCTATCCACAAAATGTCTATCTTTCTCTCCCATGATGTAAACCATATTGTTCTTATGTATTGTAGTATCCTTTCCTGTCCTCTTCCGTGTTGATTCACCTCTTACTCCATCTCTAATCCTATGAACAGCTGTGCAGGTTTTTTTTTTCTTCCTTAGAGATGGAGATACATTTAATTTTATCTTTACTTTCTACACTTCTGATTGTCTGCATGTGTTTTCCAGAAAGGTTTAACAGACATGAGGAATATTGTTCAAAAAGAAAATATGTATTGGAAAATTCAAATGGTAACAAATCTTAACTTTGCTTCAGTGGGTGTTCCATAACATTAACAAAGAGTTGCAGGATAGTTCTTTTAAAAATATTTCTTCTAACTTGTATTTGCTTTTAAATAAAATACATATTTTTAATTTCTATTATTTTAAGACTTTACAAAGAAAGATTAAGCCAAGTGGATGCAAAACTACAAGAGGTCATAGCCGGAAAAGCACCTGAATATTTAGAACCATTGGCAGCTTTACAAGAAAATATGCAAATCCGAACCAAGGTGGCAGGTAGGCATGTAAAATGAGTATTGCTGTTTCAACAGTATGAACTTGCTATGCATTTTAAGGTTGATCTTGTTTTTTCTTTAGAATTGTTAAAGGAGTGTGTTTTAAAGTTAGAAATATTGTGGCATAGTTTTAAATGTAAAATATTGTTCAAGTCAAAATGAATAGGTTGCTTACCTCTTTGCACAAGTTGCCTGATAACATCGCACTAAAAATATGGCTTTTATATGTTTCATTTAATGGCTGTCTGTCTGTGTGTAGTGAGCACAAAATTACAGTAATAATTATTAGTCAGAAGATTTAGGATCAAGTCTGCACATTGTAGTCACTGTTGAAATGAAGAGATATGTAGGTGCTATCTCATTTAGTGTTTGCCAGGTCATCTGTTGATGATCATGTTTTTCCTGCTCTTCTAGTCTGTGCCTCTTCTTCTGTTCCATCTGGGGAAGGAGGAAAACTCTTGTCCTTAGCAGCTTTTATCTAAGCTACATTTTAATTATTAAAACTAATGTTTAGACAGGCTTTTATGCTCATAGAAGAAGCAGGCAAGAACTTTTATCTTCTTCCGGGATACAACCATATAGTCATATGGAACAGTGGTATTATAGGAAGACAAAGTTCTCTACTTTGCTGTTGTAAATTCTTTTCATGTTATAGCTCGACCCCTTTATTCAGCTGTTGAAGGGTTACCTAACACAGGCTGTCAGAGAGCCAAAAGGCAGACAGTCATGATCTCTCTAGCCAGAGAAGCTATGCCAGTGTCTTTTCTAAGAAATTCAGCAGAAGCACGGTGCAGGCAAACTAGAAAAGGGCAAGCCTGCTATACTTTTCATCGTACTAGTGCTACTCAGTATGTCTTCCTTGGTACTTTTGACTTTAGGCTACGAAGAGGATTTGAAATCTTTTGGTCTATTGTGTTTCTCTCCCTCCTGGTCTTCTCCATAACGCTTCTCCTCAGCTGGTGACACAGAATTTCTGAGTTTTAAGATCTTAACCCAAACTTACTTGACTAGTCCTAAGTAGCCCACTTGGGCTTTGCAGAAGGTTCGCAGGTGAACTTGCAGAAGGTTTGATATAAAAGCAACCTTGATCCAGGCTTTTGATTTTCAGTTTTAAATGTGGCTGGCTGTCATTGCTTTCATGTAGGGTATGGATAGTCAGAATATTAGAGATTCTCCTGATTTGTCTTCAGCAGCACTGAAGATCCACGTTCCAATGTAAAAAGAGCCAAGGGTAAAAACTACAAAGTTTCCTTGAAGTTGAGACTAGAAATCAGGCTTGTTTTTTTCTGTCCTTTTGTCCTCAGCTGAATGAGATTGATAAAATTATTCCAGAGAAAGCAGGAAACTGCAGAACAGGCTTATTTGCTCTTACTGTTTGAGAGGCTTGACAGAAGTGGGTAGTAGCAGGGCTTGAGCTCTAGCAGGTAACCCCCAAGGACCTACTTCTACCTGAGAGAGAGGAGGGAGGGATAGAAAAAAAAAAAACAATGGATATAATAACTATGGATATAATTGCATCCGTGGTAGGAAAGAAGCTTGTATTCCTCTGCTCTCTAAGGCACTGAGCACTATTCACACAAAATGTGGATCTTGACTATTTCAGCAAGTCAGGAATACAACTGTTTCTTCTAGACATATTCATACTTACACTGCTCAATTTCAGGCAAATAAGCAGTGATTATAAATTGGTAGACCTAGATATGCCAGTCAGCCATAAATATTTAAAAAAAAAAAAGTCAGCATAACATACTGATATAAGAAAAGAACGTTGTGAATTCTAGATCAAAAGTGACTTCACAGCGGAAAGATGATAGACATAATACTTTGCGGTTTGTTTTTCAGAGGAATTGGCAGTAACAGTATTGTTCCTCTTGTACTGTATTAATTTATAGTCAACTGCATTCTAAGGGAAGTTGGTTTTGGGAATTCTTCAGTTGCTAGACAGCACCAGTGCGTGTGCAAACTTAACTCCTCAACATGGTAATCTGGAACAACTTAAGTATTTTTTTGTTGAATGCATTGAATATATTAAATGAAATTCTATCTATACTTGCCAGATATTACATTTCAGATACCTTTCAGATTTTTTTCAGCTGTCTGTTTAGTGTAAACATTTTCAGAAACCTATAAGAAATGCTCCTAATACTCAGAAGCAGTATCCTTTGTATTGCAAGGTGGCTATTCCTAAGAATGGAACAGAGTCTTGTTAATTGATGTGATTTATTAAGGCCATGCATTATAAAGTAAGCCTTATTGCAAATATTAATTTGTAAAAGTTTGTTCTTTCATTCAGTTTTCTAGCTATTTAAAACCCCCAAAACATTATTTAAAACTCCAATTAGAAAATAGAAGAGGCCATTTAGTACTTCATGGATTTGAAAACTAAGGATATCCAGGATAATTTGATCAGAAATATGAAATAGACCTATTTTGTAAAGTTAGCATGACCACTGGTGTATTTTGTTGACTGATAGGGGAAAAGTTAAAATAGCATTTATTTTTCCTCAGGTCTTCAGAATTAAGCGATTACTTGTTCTTATTTTTGCTCTCTAAAGCAGCCAGCCACTGTAAGTGCCTAATATAATATATCTGTATTTTCCAGTACGTACATGTTTTGGGACTTGCAGGCAGTCTTAAAAGAGAATTCTGAAATCAGATATTAGCTAAAGAAAGTAATACTACTGTAATTTGTCTGATTACAGGTATCTATAGAGAGCTTTGTCTGGAATCTGTGAAGAACAAGTATGAATGTGAAATTCAAGCCTCTCGACAGCACTGTGAGGTTGTGCCAGCTATTTTACATCGATAGCTAATCTCATCTAACTTGACTGTGTGTTATGCTTTCCAAGTTCGGTGCATGTTTTTATTATTGCTGTTATTCGCTATTTGAATGCAATTGCCTTGTGATACTTAAGCCCACATAAGAGGTTATTCAAAGCATATAAAATTAGCTTTATATTAGTTTGGCTTTGCATATAAGTATAGCTAAGGTTTCTTATTTTACATTAACAGGTTCTTGTTAATAGAGTCCCACATGATTTTTTTAGCTTTGTTATAAAAAGATTACCAAGAACAGTAACTAAAATATCTGACATAATTTTAGCAAAAAGCACCTTACATTTTAACAACAGCAACAATAATAATAATAATGATGATGATTATGATGTCTTTTTAAGATGCTTTGGACAGCTAGTGATAGAGTTGTCATTTCATAAGCAGTTACAGGAAAAATATATTTCTCTCCTTGAACATAAACATTCCTGTTTAAGCATCTAAGTACTGGATACTATAGTACAAAGACTCCAGTACACATATGTCCAGTGCTGTTACCTAGCTGCTTGTATCCTGAGGTTTGAATCATAGTACTCCTCAGCTCCCCGTTACAGCTCCTTAAAGCTGTTTTCTTCTGAGTGGTTCACCATATTCCTGAAGTCCGTGGCTCCTACCATACCAATAAAGCAAGAATGTTCATGTATACTTTTTAAAAAAATTTCTGTTTTCTTCATGCCTTGGGAAAGAACAAGGTATAACGAACGACTACTCATTACTGTCTTCGCTCCTGTGAATACTCCTGAGGTTGGACAGAATCCTGTAAGACTTGCAGGGTTTCTCATCCGTGATTGAATGATCTCAGAACAGATTGAATGTCTCAGAACAGATAACACTCATTTGGCGTTTCAGGTATATGTAAGAGGCTTCCGCCTTTTCAATTCCACTGGGAGGTTTTTTTTTTATAACTAGGGTTTGAAAAATATGTGGAAGGAGATCTTTGGAATTTAAATACTTTGTAACTTGAAGGGAATGGTAAACATGACAGCCATTTAGTAGAACAGGGTTCTTTATTTTCATCTATTCCTCCACTGTTTTGCTTCGCTCCAGCACACTGGCTTGAACATTGGTAAAGGTAAGTTTCTGTTAGTATGCTGTGCTATGGGCAGGAGCAGTTCAGGTGCAGACATCTGCTGACTTGGCTCTAGGGACTGGAGCAAATAGCTAGACACGGTGACTTGTGCTGCTTAAGTTGTTTTTTCAATGAGTAAGTCCAAGCCCTCTATTTTCCAGAATTGTTAAAGATGGTGCTCAGTGAAAATGAACTTTAAAATGTAACAATCAGCTGTATTTCCTACTTGTGTTTTAGGAAATGTGCAAGCTTATGAAAGAACAGTAAATTTATTTCCTTCAGGCTTGGAACTCAGCTTAATTCCAAGTCACTGGTTTAGAGAGTTTACTGTTTTTCGATGCTGCCTTTAAAAGGGTGACTGATCTATATAGATACTGTGTAATTTTGATATCAGTCCGATGTGGTGGACAGTAATTGAGAGCAGTTCACTACAAAGTTGATTTTCTCATTCTGATACACTTAGAGGTGGAAGAGAGTGTAGACTGCACCAAATGCTGTAGAAAGTTTACATCAGAGTGTGTTTTTGTTTGTCTTTGTATATAAAAAGTGCTAATGATACACCTAACATTGAAAGCATTATGTTAGTTTGTTTAGATCAGAAATTGCCTTTTAAAAGGATGAACTAGCTAACTTTTCTAAAGCAGTGCTTTAAAAGTGTTTCTCATGGCTTCAAGGTAGACAATTTTGCTTTCACAACTGTCTAGATTATTTTATGTGCTCAATAAATTCTTTCTTCTGTGGGAAGGTGTTTTTCAGATCTATGAAAATAGACAATTATAAATACCGTGGTAACAGATGATAATTCTCTATAAATGACTGCAGGTTTATTAATATTGGAGTCAGCTTAATAAAAAGCTTTCCATGAAAACACTAGCTTTTTCTGATTTGTAATGAAAGCTGTTATAGAGGTCACTACTTTACAGTTATTAATTGTGAATAAATATTTGCTATCCAAAAGGAAAATACTGTATTTGTGTCAAAATACAAACAGTATTCTGGAGATCTGGCTGCATGCTTTTATATACTTAGTTATTCTCGGTACTGATATTTGATAACTATATTTACCCTTATGCCAAGTGAGCGAGCTGTCTTTAAGGAGCTAGGATCTCATGCTAAGAAAGTGGATAGAGGGAAATGTCATATGCTTTATGGCTTCTGAAAAATTTTCACCTAAAGCTACTCTTACCTTCCACTGAGGCTTTAAATTGCTGTCATATATATTTAGATGATAGAACTTAGTCATGTAAAAATGTGTAATTTGTTGCTTTTTTAGAGTGAAAAGCTTCTGTTGTATGATACTGTACAAAGTGAACTAGAAGAGAAGATTAGAAGACTTGAAGAAGACAGGCATAGCATTGACATTACCTCAGGTGGTTGGAAATTTAAAGTTGTTGGGGTTTTTTTGTTTGTTTATTGTTTGGTGTTGCTTTTTTGTTTGGTTTTGTGGTTTGTTTGTTTGTTTTTTTAATCTTCTGGTAGCTACTGATTAGTTGACTGTACACATAGCATGTCTGGTGAGTTTCAGGTTATCCAGTAGAATGTTATTCAGCTGTAGACTTTGGGGGGGTGTGTGTGTTTGAATTTAAGCTTAAAACAAACTTTGGTCTGGTAATTGTCAGCATTCCTTGTGTGTTTTGAGAGTATTAATCCACGACTACATAATCTTGTAACATCTTCATTCTGTTCAGAAACAACATCTCACCAGAAGATGTGTTATTTTTCATTTTTGGACAATGTTTTCTGCTGTAAAAAGAGCTAAACATGTAAATGTTTCTGATTCATAGCATGTTCTTATTATGTCTTTTCAGAATTATGGAATGATGAGCTACAGTCCAGGAAGAAAAGGAAGGATCCATTTAGTCCAGATAAGAAGAAACCCGTTGTTGTATCAGATATCCTTTTACTGAAATCGTTGTTCTTTCTGCTAGTGTTTACTGGTTTATAGCTAGTCTTATTACGTATGTCATTAATAACAAGTTGAAGTGATAATGTATTCTCAAAATTGATTTTTGCATGGCAGATTAGAGAAACCATGTTGACACATCCCATTATCAAAATTGAAATTAAGATTCTCTTATGTAACTACTAGTTTCATATAAAGAATATTTCTAAAAGTTGTTTTTTATAACTCTTCAAAAAATAGAGCTACAAGGCAAAAGTGGAAAAAAGCTAGGCATTATGTTTGCAAAGTATAACTTGACTTGTGTAACTTCTCCTGTATAGCTTTGCTTCTCATACTGGGACATCTTTACCTCAATTTATTACTGCTTAACAATTCCATAGACTTTAGAACCCTCTGATTAAAAGTTTAAAATTCCAAGAATTGAGACGGTTGGGGGGTGTGTGTGTTTGTGGGTTTGGGGTTCCTGTAGAGCGAGTATAGTATTTAAGAATTTTGCATTGATGACTTACTCATAGCTGTTGACAAGCATGCAGTGCAGCTGAAACTTTTTAAGGTATAACACCTAAGAGATGGTATCATCTTTCTCCGGAAAAAGAAGGAGATGCCTTTGCAAACTGAGTGTCTCTCTACTTCTACCCCCAGCCTAACAATTTTATAGGATAGAGATGTGATGGCTTAGAAGTTGCCAGAATCATGGAGACTACCTAAAAGAGACCAGCTTCTAAGTATTGACATTATATGGTATAAAGGCCATTTTTTTATTGCTAAGCTGCTGCAAAAAATCCTGCTACTTTCACAAGTTTTTGTAGCATTGGGAGAAGATGAGAAGGAAAAAGTTTCTGAAAAAACTGTCATCATTGGGACACCCTCCTTCAGGATGATTGATTTACTGGAACACATCCCAGATGGATGATTTGTCCTAATAACGGCTGTTCTTCCATTAGGATATGTCATAAATTCAGTTTAGTAGAGATGTTTTTTACCTAGTGCTTAAAAGCCAGGTGGTATTAATCAATGCAAGTACAGGTGTCTTCATTAGTTTCTTAACTCCTTTTAGCAATTTTAGTGCCAGGTTGTGTGAAAGTGTATTTTCTATAGCTCTCAGTCATCCTTGTCTTTAGGATGTCCATATAAATAGCATCAGATTCTGTGAATTATGAGCTACCTTGCCATTTTAGAATACATTCCAACCAGAAAATACTAACATGGTATTCGGTCTAAAACCCCAGCGATTTCAGGCAATTCATAAGGCTGAAAATCCTTTCAGTTGTGAAGTAAGTGAATATGAGCTTTTTGCTTCTGATTTTAAAATAGTTGTGAACTTGTCAATTTGTACAGATCTGTGTAAAGCAAATACCTAGAGATTTTACATGGCTTTTGATTTGTAATTCTTTGCTATTTAGAGGAAAACAAATTTGAAAATAGCTAAAGATTCTTAAAATTTCAAAAGGTATCTAAGTTAAAGCTTTCATATCCCATTTTAGGAGATTTAGATTTTAAACATTCATAGCACCTTTTTCTAAATTTGTTTTTCAGAGATGAAATGGGGAGAAACAAAGTAAAAACTGAAGACTCTTGCTAGGGAATAGCTGTGCTATATGGAGTTTTATTTTGAAGTTCACGTATTGTTCTAATACACAATTTTTATGTGTACAGTTCATAGTTCAAGGAAGGGGCTTTGCCTTTCTACTTCCTGTTTTTTAGATATTTGGCATTCAGAGATGTGGTGCTGTCTACACTTTTCTTTCAAAGAAATATGATGTAGAATATTGTAAAAATAATGATTTTATTAAAGCTGATGCTAGTGTAGGTGCTGATTTGCAGTGGTATATTGAAATTGCAGTGAATTTTAATTGTAATTTGTAGTATTGCAACGAGAATGATTTTTGGAACTCTTAGGGATGGAATGGTTGTATCACAATTGTTTATCTTATCTTCATGTTGAACTCCAATAGTGTGAATATCTACATACTATTACTTACCTCTTTTTTTAATAATTTTTGAAGCGTACTTCTAGGTTGCATAATTCAAAGATGAATTTATTTTTGCTGAGCTTTCACTTCATGTAGGTATTTTTTGTGTGAAAGATTGGCAGAACAGAGCTATTAATATCTTTCTACAAACATTAGGGTATTTTTATTATTGCTGTTTAAAAGAGTTTTCCCTAACTTTTCCACGCCCCTATATAGTTTATATGTTACAAGACCTTGATATACTTGAAGACTGGACAACAATAAGGAAGGTAAGATGAAAGGATGAATGCCAGTGGTTGTGGGTTTTGTTTGGCTTCTCATCTAGTCCTTTTGACTCTTAAAAATATGTAAATGCATTTCTTACATAATCAAAACTCTAGATAGATTTTTATTTCTTCGGTAGCCAGCTAATCATCCCAGTTCAAGCTATATTATTGCTACTTTTTCCTGATTCTACCCAAATCGTGCAGACAAATCCAATAAAGTGGTGGAAGAAGTTACCTCTAAAATGAGTAGTCCATAATTTTCCATGATAAAGTGAGCCTAAAGCCTATGTCAAGAGGATCTGCTTTCTCATAGTCTAGCATAATTGGGTAGAAACTATGACAGGATCATTTGATAGGATTTTGTTTTAAATTAAGATTTTTTTAATATATATCTCATGGCATGTTTTCACTTAGTAAATAGTTTATTTTATGACGATCTCTATGCTTTGACCTCTCCTTATGCTTTCTTTTTTTTTTTTTTAATAAAAGTGAAGTACTGTGTTTTTCCCAGATTATAAAAGCATCAGGGTTTACAGGAAGACAAATTTCCTTGACCAATTGATGTATTTGAAAAAATAAGTCCATCTTTTAAGTGCAGAGTGCCCTTCTCAGATCTTTGTCATATCATTAAAGTAACTTGCTGAAAAGGAACGCTATCCTTGCCTTGCACCTGCAGTCAGAAAATTTCTCCATGTACCCTAGTGCTTCTCAGCTTATGGAATAGCAAACTTAATGCAAATTTAAAAACTTGGTGGGAAATGGCTTTGAGTCAGCTTCCATCCTGCTTTATACTTGTATGTATTTCCTAAACAAGAAGTAAGATGTGATGCCTATGTGAAAACTTGTCTGACTTTTCCTGTCGTATTAGAGGAACAGACACAAAATAGCTTTCCCTCACTTTCCTGTAGTGTAACATGATTTTAAATAGCAACAAACCCAGAATCTGCTGGGGATTTTACCTTTTCTGGAAATAATTTAAAAAAACCAAAAAGCAAGCAAGCAACCCAGCCCAAAAAACTCTTAGAGGTTTTTTTGTAAACGTACTTTAATACTGCATGTGATCTAGAGTTCGCTTGAGAGAAAATTTGTGAGCTTATAAGCATAACATGTAAATCAAAAGAGTAGGTTGTTCATATAGCATTTTGTTTTTCAGAATGAGTTAATGTCATTTTGTATTTTCTTGACAGAATTACATAACAGCAATTTTGAGGGTTTAATTTGGAAAACCTGCTGAGTTATTTGAAATCAAAACTTACTAAAGAACATGATTTTTTTTTTCACCCTCAAAATGCTGGTTTTAGTTACCGAGTCACCATTGAATACCCTTTTATTTTAGATTTGTTCTGATTGTGGTTTTTGCATATAAAAACAAGTATCTTGATCTACACTGCACATAACTTCGTAATTAAGGCTGGCAGTTAAGAAAAAAGACTATGCTTGCTTTCTAACTTCATTTTCTTTTGTGTTTCAAGGCAGTGGCTACACTGGGGCCACACAGAGTAAAGCCAGAACGTAAGTAAACATTGTCTGGTTTCACAAGACAGAACTTGCTGTGTGCAACGATGCAAACTGCATCTAGGCAGATCATATTTATTTTAGCCCTGGTGTATAGCGATGGAGGATGGTTTGAAGTAGCTGGAAGATGTGGCTTTTGTCTTTCACCTCTCTCAGGTGCTGATACTTGTAGCTCAATTGCTGATGATTGTGTTGACACCGAATTCTAGAAAATTATCAACAAAAATTTAGATTCTCAAAGTGGGTTACACCAATTAATATTAGCAAGCTATACCAGTGTTTTCACAAGATGAGGCAGGAAACTGAGAACATCTGGATCTTAGGGGTGCATTCTAAAGGATGCTCACATTCACTGGAAGCTACAACCCTGAAAAAGCAGAGCTATGGGAAAGAAGTGGTAACTGATATTTGGTACTGAGGTGAGAAGCACATTAATACTAGGTAAAATTGAATACTTGGAGGTGGTGAGTAAGGAGGAAAAGGGAGAGGAGGCAAGCAGGTGGTGTATTTCTTTAGCAATGTATTACTACTTGCACGTTGTGGTAACGTGCTGGTGAAGAGGTTTCAGGTTCTGCCTTTTGAAGTCTTCTCTATATTGCATTACTCGATTTGTGAAAATTCATATTACAGATATGAAGGTTGTGGGGAAGATAGCTTCTATCTGAAAATGGAAATAAAACTTTTAATTTATCTGACTGGAAATAAAAAGGTATCTTGCTTCCAATTTTCTTGCATTCTTGCAATTATTAAGAGAGACGTTACTTTTGATAATGGAAAAAATGTGTATTCTATGTAAATAACTTGATGAAAGTGTATTTAAACATCTAACTGACTTCTGCCAAGTCAATATTAAATGACTTCTATTGATCATTTTAGCACCTGTCAAATTAGAAAAGCATCTACATAGTGCTAGATCTGAAGAAGGAAGACTCTATTATGATGGAGAGTGGTATGGACGTGGACAGACGATATGCATTGATAAGAAAGATGAATGTCCTACAAGGTAAAGATTACTCAGTTTATGCATCTCTGTACATTCATATTAAGCAATAGATAGGATGATGACATTGAAGAATAAGTTTATTTGGAAATACTGCCACTTCAGTAACATTTCTTAGTTCACTTTGGAAGACCCATTATCAAAGAAGGTTAAGCGCTGGACTTCTGAGAGAGGCTAGTAAAGGTTGGACTTCACTGAAGGTAATGAGGTGTTTGGCAAGTTAGGATCTCACTAACAAATTAAGCTCTTACTAGTTTCTGAATAGCCTTTGAGTAAGTTTGGTGTTTTTTTTTTTTTTTTTACTATCTTGGGATTTTGTTGCTGTGAGAATTTGATCTGTTGGCCCACCCAAAAATACTTCATTACAGAAAAACACTTTATACTGTTAAAGATAAGCTTTGTTTTCAGTTGATTAGTACTCTGAAAGAAAAGAGTTGGAACTTTTTTGTAATGGTATTTCCTTCTCTTAACAAAGATCCTACCTGGGAATGGTCTAAATATTACAGTGCAAATTTGGTTGAATGTTTAAGATATCGAAGTGTATTTTCTCTGTATGGATAATATTTGTAAATTTGTAAAAGGTGGGTATATTTAAAACAAGATTTAAAATTAAATTTATATCTTACCTTTTACTGAATGGGGCAAATCAATCTAAGCACAGTGTTGATTAAATATGCACAACTACACAGGAAAATTAACTTCATATAACAGTAGTTTACTGTAAAACTGGCTGTTTCTTTTCTTCCCTGTGTATGGTGAAGGGGAACAGATTTTGCTGCTTTTGGTGTTTGTTCAGGGCTGAAACAGGAAGGTATTTTAGTAAACTATATATTCTTTCTGAAATTTAAAAGATTCTGAATTAGTTTAGCAGAACATAGCAGTTATACTGGGCCAAAAAAAGATCTTGGTATCCAGTGTCTGACAAAAGCTGATGCTTAGCAGGGCAAGCATACAGTGGAACTTTCCCAGCCTTTCAAGATTTCAGCAACTTTTAAGGATGAGGAGTTTCCTGAGGGAGTTTTGTCACACTAAACATGTGATAGGTCTTTCTTCCATTAACTGTTTTAATCTCTGGTTTTGAGCCTTTTTTTGTCATCAATTTTATTTGATTTTTTTTTTCCCTAGGTGGTATGGGGAGAGGGTTATGTTCACCATTTGTATTAAGGTTTACCACAACGAGCATAAAAACAGGGTTCATGTAAGAATGATTCAGTTAATCAGGCTTTGACTTTTTAGTTCTTATGGTCTTGGTATAATGACAGTTGAATACTTTTTCTGCTTTAAATCTTGGGCTTCAATCTGTGCAACTTTTTCCAAATACTTTGAATACAAAGTAATTTCTGGGTACGTTTTCCAACAGATCTGTTTTTTACCATGGGTAGTCTATTGTGTTTTCTATGGGTGACTGTTCTTTTAAACAATTCAAATATTTGTACATGTTGAGGGTTTTCTCATAGGAGAAGAAAATAGATAGATGGCTGAAAAATTAATTACGTTCACTAAAGACACATGCAGTTACCAAAGAATTCTGTTTAAAACTATCCTTACCGTGGAGCCACTGTCTTTTGGGCCTAAAATTTACAACTAATGCATATTTTCATTTACTGTCCGGAAATACAGCTGCAGTTTTGAGGTTATTTATTAGCTTATAAGGTTTCTAAATTCATCTTGTTTTTCTTCCCCTGACTCTTCTTCCCTCATTTTCTCTAGTGCCATAATTACAACAATTAACCATGATGAAGTTTGGTTTAAAAGACCGGATGGAAGCAAGTCCAAGCTGTATATTTCTCAGCTACAGAAAGGAAAATATTCAATAAAGCATAACCACAACTGACAGTTGCTAACCAGATAAGAAACAAGTGGTATTGCCATGCTTGATGTGCCATGGGTTGAAAGTTGTATTTAATAGTGTTTTGTATTCCTTATAAATCTACAGCAGTATCTGATGTGTATTTGTAGTGCTGTATGTAAACTTCATATGGATGGCCTTCAGAAACCTGAGGATGTTAAATCATGTTGACAAGACATTTTACCTCTAAACTGGGTCCAGTGCCTAAGATATGAAGTATGCTCTTCAAGTATAATGGCTCAGAACTTCTCATATTTGTAAAATGAGAAAAAAAAAAAAAGAGAAAAAAAAAAAAGAGGTGGTTTTGTTTTGGTTTTTTTTTCCCATTGGTGACCAGTTGGTGTGATAAAAATGTTAAACCATAATTACCAGCAACTCACTTTGTTTTCAGTGAACATGTCATGCTTCTCTTGTGGATGTAAATTTAGCCTGTTCAGCTGTTGCTTTTGAATAGATTGTAACATGCATAAGCATTCTTTTATCCCAAGTGGACTGATTTATTAAAATTATTGCCCTCGACAGCTCTGCTAGTACTGACTGTGTTATATTTTGTAAGGTTTACTATATTGCTTGTAATGAGACAAAGCCAACGTTTTGAGCTACATTTTTTGAGGAGCAGTTTTCTAGTTTAGGACCCTATTCTATAGTAAAAAAATCATTGGTGATTTTTTTTTTTTCTTCTTCCCCACATTGCCAGCAAAATTTATGCATAAAGTAGACAGTGTTGCTCCAACCTGTGTTCTATGTAGCCCACAAAGAATGACTTCGGCGATGGTGGTGTAAATACTGTTGCATGCTCTGCTTGTTTTGTCCACAGTTGTTTGAAATAATATGAATCTTCTTTTCAAAAGGAAAATTTTTCCCCAGAAATCACATATCTGGGAAAATTTACACTGGCTTTTTCACCAAACACTATTTTCCAAATCTCTGTACCCTACTTCATCTTGTTGTACACCAGAATTATTTCATGCAGCTTAGAAAGCTGAATTCCTCTTAAATCTTACTGTTTAAACCACAGAGAAAAGTCCTAAATCCTTGATGTTATTGTGATGTGCTTGGAGCATCTAGAATGATAGATGGGATTGCTGAAGAATTATTAATGCGTTGGTTATGTGCACTTTAATCTCCACTTACGATGATTCTTTTTGGAGAAAGAAAGCATCCATTTGCTTTAAATGATCACCGCAAATAAGTATTTTTATTGTAACATATAAATGTTGTATTCCTATATTAATTGTCTCTTCTAGTGTAGAATGGTAACTACTTTCCAAATGCCAAATCAGTTTCTGCTGAGTGATGCTTTTCTACAATTGTATGACATTATTAATCAAATGTACATAAAGTATCAATTGACATGTTGGCTTTTAACAATATGAACTGTATGTATACAGTTGTTTGATAAACTTTTGTAATAAAATATTCGTATTTTTTAACTTAGTGTATAAATAAATGATCTGTGGTAGTGGACATCTTTTATGTTTTCGCTCTTTGGTTTTCTAGTCTTGTTGGAATTGCTGATATACCAAATGCTAAAGGGAAATCTAAGTTAAGAAGGCCTACATCTTTTTAAAGACCTTTGACTTGCACATTTTTTCTTTTGAATTTTGAGAGTTTGTATGTATAGATTTTGTTTGTTTGTTTTTTCAATTTTTTTCTTTAATATTTTATGGAAGCACTATTCTGTGCAGTTTATAAATCAAATGTAAGCACTGTTAAGAACCTCTTAGCTATTGACGTGCTTGATATCATTTGTATTTAGGACATGCTGGGCACCCTAAACTGTTTCTGTGGTTCACCCCTTTCCTATTTCCTCTCCTGTATTCTGCAACTCTCTGGCTGCAATTGATTATTTCTAAAGCTGTTTCTAATCTGATCTCCTTGGGTGCAGAACTTTGCTTTGTACAGCCCTGCAGTTTGGACTGACACTTGGTGAGCGTGGCTTCTTTATTCGGAATAAACATCATTCATATCAACATGACATCATTCATGATTCATATCATCATTCATATTGACATGACATATACAGCACAGCAGTATAGGTTGGTGATCAAACAACTGGGATCTGCCTGTTCCATTACTAGAAGTCCAAGAAACTGAGCTATGGCTTTCCTTTTTAGGTGGAATCACTTCTGTGTATGCAATTGGAAAGGTATGACATTGGTCTTCTTTTATAATTGGTTAATTGTTTCATACCTAGACAAATTGTATTTGGTGCGTGCTGTGTGTCTTTAATATTTGAACAGTTAATGGTTTGCTTGCTCCATCATAAAATGGAAGAGGTGTCTTCAACAGATTTTAGTCCTTTGAAGTACAGATGTTGTTAGCCTGTTGTCCGTCTGTTTTATCTTTTACACTGCTACAGTAAAACTTTTCAAGCCTCGGTAGCATTGTTTTAACCTACAGATAGGATTAAGATCTGTGAAGTGCTGAAAGGAAAAAGATGTCGGGCATACCGTTCATTCCTTGAGATACAATATGTGAAAAGGGAAGTAAATGAAGAGTAACAGGCATTGAGTGACAAAAATAACTTTCTGTGCATGTATAGAAAAGGATTCTATATGAAGAGTTATGTTTCAGAGGAGATGCAGTGTGTTTTTTGCCAATCACACAGAGCAAGGTGATCTGTTCATCTTTCCCATAATGAAGTATCTGGTATATTTAGTTGAAATGCAATTGATTTAACCTGACAACACTTAATGCGTAGGTATCATGTGGAATTTAGTTTAGGTATCTTGTAACAAGCAGCTCTTAAACTTTCCAAATACACTTGGATTTTGGCACTGTGTTTGTTTTAAAATGATAAAAATTGGCTATTTATAGTCCATGGAACGTCATGTTTTATATTTGTAAGCCAAGGCCTGCATAACTAGCTCACCACCCCCATCAAGTGGCAAATGATGATTAAGAACTAAAATTTTCATTCATTTTGAAAACCTATGCTATCTTCCACCAACAGGTTCAATTTGTTCTGGGTGGGATTTCTTTTTTTTTTTTTTCTTTTTTTTTTTCTTCTTTGAAGCGGAAAGAAAAAAATAGGTTTTGGCTTTTACCAAAAGAAAGAAATACTAATACTGTTCCCAGTCTCCTGGAGAAATTCTTCAATTTTTACTGTGGGAAGAGCTGCTTTTTTTGCCTTTTTTTGAGGACAAGGGGAAGAGGTAGGGAGAAAACATGTTCAATAGACCTCACATTTAAATAGCTAAAATCTTCAGTGCTTTTATCCGTATCAGGTTTGTTGGAGCCTTTCACTGTTCCTCGTGGTAGCTAAATGGGACACGCATGCTTCTGTGCCCGCATACGACAGCCCTGTCCAAACACCCTTCTACAAGTGGCCAAGGAAGCTCTGTTCTAAGGGGACTTGATTGTTCCTAAGGAGGTTTTTTACAAGGCCCTTCTGGGTTGGGGGCATGGTTACTGTTGGAATTAAGACCGAGTAGCCAATATTTTGCCTTGGGTACGTAAGGTACCTCGGAGGTCTGACAGTCAGGGTGCTCTAGGTGATGTGGACTTGCAGGCAGCACGGTAACTGCCCAGTGTCTGGAAATACTTCACAGCGTACGTGTAGGTCGGCTGCACGGTACATCTGCAGTAAATCAGCATGGGATTTGCAGCCTACGACATAATCAAACGCACAGCATATATTCAGTAAGCCTGGTATTTCCTGGAAATGCCAGCCTAACTGTACTTGCATGGCATTGCGTATGCTTTTATTTCTCTGTATGGAAGATCTGGTCTTGATGCAACAGATGTGATTTCCGACATTTAAGATGCATTCTGTTTTTCTGGAACTGCCAGACTGGAAAGCTGAAAAGTGATGGGCTGAGCTGACTCCTGTTTCAGTGTGCTGGCTCCTGTAGACCTGATTTCTAGAACTCAAACTTTCCCAGACGTTGTATGAAGAGTTTGAATGCTGAAACTGAGCTGAGAGATTTGCTAGCGGGCAGAGGACCTGAAGTTAGGTGCGGTGCTGAATGCCATGTTGAAGGAATTCCAGCTCCAGAATAAAGATTGGAGGGGTAACTGGAGTAAATGAAGTGATGAAGTGTATGTAAAACACCAGCATTTAAAAAAAATGGTAAGGTGAGTAACTTAGCCCTAGTTACCCTGGGCATTGACGGAGGCAACTTCTGATAGGAAAAAAATACTATATGAATTTAAGTAAGGATTGTTTCACATGGCAATGGGTTCAAAAAATGCTTTGTAGGCAAACTTTATATTTAGCATTTCCAAACTTTAAAGGTGTCAATATAACTCTTCCAGTATGGTTTGTGTGTATGAAAGAATATAAATGTGTAGGACTCGGGTCACTTATTAAGGCAGCAATCTCCAAATTCTCTTAAACTAGTGTTTTCAGATGTTTTAATTGCAGACATGACTTACTGACTTGCTAGGTTTTTTAAAGATCTGGGTTATGTTTTTTGAAAATCGTAATTTCTTTGAACAATAGGGAAATACAGAAAGCACAGTTTAAGAGGTGGTTAGCAGCAGTGGGACTTGTATCTTTTTTTTTTTTTTTTTTCCCAGCATGTCAGTTCAATAGGAAAATCGTCAGACATCACCACTGTCTCCATGAACAGAAACAAGCTGGAACAGGGCAACACAAATGAAAATAAGCTGCATTATTTCTTTGAACGGGGCAACATCAGTGGATCCTCCTTGTCCTGTAAGCCAAATAAATCTGAATCAGTTGGCAGGAGCAGGCATGTCGAATCTGCCTTGCCTCTGCGGACACGGGGTGTGTGGCGGTGCAGCCCTGCTCTGCTCCTGTGCTCTGGAGACCCGTGTTGCTGAAAGCCTGCAGGTGGCAGTACATTTATGCTGAAGTTACTTAACAGTAGTTTCAGAATGTTCTGTCTAGATCCTGGTAGGTTGGTTTTTTTTTTTTTTTTTTTTTGCTCGGTTTCTTTTAGTTGTGGCAGTACTACGACTGGTTTTAATCCCAATGCATACTAATTACGGGATATTCGGAAAGAACAGATAGTACCCGGAGTTCTAAAGAAGGATTATCTTTTGCTAACGTATCGTGAAAGAAAATTGCTATGTAAAGGCTTAGGCAGGAACAGAAATGAGTTAGATGCTTTCTAGTTGCTATAGAAACAAAATATGTAATTAAACAAAATGAAATATATTACAACTCTTACACTGATGAAAGTACTTAGGAAAGGTTGGACAATGAATGAGCGTTTTATATTGCAGCACCAAACCCAGAAATAAACAGAGGGTTCAGGTTTATTTTTCTAATGCAGTTTTCACCTACTGCATTTTTTTGTGCTTGGTGTTACCTAAAACCAAAACGGTTTTGTTTCCTAAGGTGAATCTATAAAAAGGAATGTCAATAATAGTAAACAATAAGTAATGCAGTGAGAATTTGCATCAATACTG